AACGAGGAACGGGAAAACCCATTGAGGAATCTCATCGAAAGGCTTCTCGCACATTAAGCCACACATTCACATATTCATCTGCACCAACTTTCTATTCACCAATCCATTTCCTTATTGTCGCTTGTTACGCACGCTGCCTGCTGTTTTTATGCATAAGATGTGTTACTATACCAGTGGATGAGTGAATGCTTAAACGTTAGTTGGTGCTGGTTCTATTTCCGCCAGACTTGGACTGATTTGATGGAATTCGTTAGTTCTCTGGATCCACTTTTGCAGGTGGTTCGGTTGTAACAACAACAACAGCAACAACCGAACTTAACCATCGGTCAGACAGCAGACTGACGACCTTATTGCGTTATTTATTAAAATCATTTTGCTGTTTCATTTTCAGTAAGAACACCGACGTGCAAACAAACACGTTCGATTTTTGGACCGATTCCTTAAAAAATGATGATCTGTTCAGTAAAATTAAGCGTGAGGTAACAATAGTTTCGCTTCGGACCAAGTTCTATAGCATGGCTATTGTTTCCTGTCTTGCTGCATAAGCGAATTCACTGATTCTAAAAGAAAGCAACGGCGTGTTCTTCGTCGGCAGTATTTCGAAATAGTGGAATGAAACGCGTTTTCAATAGGAGAAATAACGCAATAAAGTTACAGGAGACAGGCAGACACGATTTATGCAACAAAATAGCAATTTAAATCATACATAGCTTAATAGAGTAAGCAAAATGCAAAAACAAGTATTTTAAAAAGCAAAGCAGATAACACATAACATCTTGGCCAGGCAGCACCGCTTTGACTTACATTCTTTAGCTGCGATGACGAAGCCTTCCGTCTGCGCTTTGGGCCGGACGCGGCAGCGGTGGCGTTGTCTACCACGGCGGGAGGTACCACGCTGTTGCTGCGACGGTCGCCCGCACCTCCGCCGCCAGTTGCGGCTGCACCACCGCCTCCGTTTCCGTTTGCACCGACGCGACTCAGCTTAGGTACTGCCGGGGCGATCGCCTTCGGACTGGACGATGGCTCAGAGATCTTTCGAACCACGACCACCGATCCGGAAGTCGTCTCTTTCGACACCGCGTCGTCATGAGTCGAACAGGAAACGTTCATATCTGTGGCGGCGTGCGAACTATAAAGTACCAGAAAATATAAATAATAATTAGCTAGCACAAAGATAAGCATCGACATAGGTCGATCGACTCATTGAAAAGAACAACGTTCGACCGGTCGCAGACGGGATACGGTTCGGAGACAATCAGCAACCAAAAGAACAACAAAGATAAGAGGATGGAGAACAGAGCAGCTTTCAGGACACCACTTTACACGGACCAGAGGAAAAATCATCGAACAGCCATCGACGGCAAATATCGAAAATTAGCCGGCAAATCGATTCGGTCATTTACAATTCTTGTCATTATCATCAACCTTCTCCGATCCACTGCTGAATGTAGGCCTCTACAAGACTTTGTCATAAATTTCTGCTTTCTGCCATTTCATCTTTCTTGATCAAGCTAACTTTTTTAACTCTTTCTGCCATCCATCCGCAGGTTCTCCAGCCGGGATGTTCTACACTCCTGGAATCCAGTTAAATTCTCTTTCGCCCAGAGATGGTCGCTTCCTCTTGCAACGTATCGCCACGGTTAATTTTTTCACTGGGGTAATGACATCGCAGACTCTTGTTTGTATTCTTATCCATTCATTCGTCTTTCTGTTCTATCTTCATATTTGCAACAGACACTTTTTCATGCTATGTTGCGTAGTCTGCGGTTTATGAATAGCTTTCAATTTTAGGGTCCACGTTTCACACCCATATTAGCACTGTTTTCCAATTCTTGCATGAACAATAAATTACAGCCGTGACTTTCAACCTGTTTAACGGTGCTTCACAGCATCAATCTGGTACACTCATCACCATGCTGAGCCGCTCGTCGTCTCTTCATAATGTGGGACAAAACACAGAAAGAATCCTGCACTGATTTCGACCGTGCAAACCTGGTTCTTGACTCAAATGTTTGTACGGTCAATTCTCTGAACAGACGCCTCTTCGTCATCGTCAACTAGCCTACTTATGAAATCATCAGGTGATTCAAAGTTACTAAAAGTTATCGAAAGTTTTCAACATTTTAAAGCAAAATGTTCTGCGCCAGCAACACCCCTTAAACATCAGCAGCGTTAGTCTAATATTAATGCAGAAAACGATCCACGCTGTTGCGGCACACATCATTTCATTGCCTGCAAAATGGCCATCGGGTATGAACGGAACGTCTCGACGGACGTTTATTAGTCGCTTCATTGCAGCACGCTTCACAAACAGGTCCGGTATGCGCGAATCTTTCTAACAAATGATCGGACGCCAAATAAGCGCCGTCTCCAGCTAATACAAAATCCTTCCATCTGTGCTGAAACATATTTCCGCGGACAGACTGAGGGCGATCATCGAACCACTAGCTGCAAACAAATCAGGCATTATTTTCGACGTGCGCCAAGACGTCTTCATGCGTCAACGGTCAGTCGATCTTCTAACTGATCTGGCATGCGAATCTACGTGAAGTTCGATTCAACTCACCGCCAACACAACGTGGTGTACAATTAAAATGCCCAGACTGTAAACCGGATACAGCACAAGTAAAAACGACAACAACTGGTCAAATGTTTAACTGCTGACGTGGGGTTCGTGTGCCAAGAAGAGGCGCTCCTGATCTTGTAATCAATGTCATTTTAGACTATTCGCTGCTCAACAGCGTCATCTAGAAGAACAAACACGAGGCCGACAGTCAACTAGTGACGCGGCTCCAAGGTACTTAGCGGTACTTCCAAAGGAATTTTCCGCACGATATCGTGCTCCGGAGTGCAACCGTACAACCATTCCTCGGTGAAAGTGCATGTAGGCTAACTGTCAATGAAAATACCACTTCCTCGTTTTAATTTTTTTTCTTCACATTCTTCGCCCTCTCCTTTTTTATGCGTTTTCTTCATCTGGTTCTTCTGTTCATCTCCTTATTCTTCTCCTTCTATTCTTTGCCCCTGTCCTTTTATTTGTCTTCATCTTCTCATTCTTCTTCTTTTCTTTTCTTCTTCTATTTTCTCTTCATCTACTTCTTTCCTGCTTTTTCTTTGGATTGATCTTCATCTTAGAGTCAAACTCTTCTTGGTTCTTTTCCTGCGTCTTCCATTTCACATCCTGATATGTCCATCATTCTGTTTCCGTCATCTTTTTCCAGTTCTTCTTTTGTTTCTTTCTCGATCTCCTTTTCGCCATCTTCTTCTCATTCTGATCTGTCTCCCTGTTTCGGCATGTTCTGCTCTTGCTTCTTCTGTTGTTATGTTTTTTTTACATCGTTTGATCATTCTTCTCGTACTTTTTTTGCTTCCTGTCTCTATTTGCAGATCTTTTCACCTTTTCATTATTATACTTTAATCATGTTCATGCATTTTCTTCTGTGTATTTTCTTACATTGCCTTGTCAGCTGTTTGCCGTACAGCAGCCAAACATGATCGCTGACGATGAAGCAGCAGAACCAGCGAACAGTGACAGAGGACAATGGCGAAAAAGAGGCTGCGGATTCAAGTCCATGGTATCATTCGCAACGGCGTCATCAGCAGACGGATCGGACTGTAATATGCAAGGTTCCAAGCGAAACGCAATAAAATGTGTTCCGTTCGGAATTTAGCTTGGAAACAAATTATGAGGATGACCACCGCTGTAGCTTAGTGGGCATCTACCAGATCCGAGATCGCGCGGCTGAAGTCTAAAAAATGCGAAAAGATGATATCGTAAAACTGGCAGGTCCCGGGTGAAGAAGCGAAACGACGGAAAGGGAAGCGCAACGACGAAACGGGTTAAATCAACAGCAAGATATCAGTAAAGAAACTATGCTGGCATATGGTCCACCATACATTGTGTACCCTGCATGCGGTGGGCACAATGTCGGCATTCTATTCTAATATGACTAATGGAGGAAGACACTTTACAGTCGCAGACAAATTACTTGCTGCAACAACCGGGCACGTACAAAGCTTACCATCATTGCTGCCGCTTGTTGTTGGCTCTGAATATGCCATAGTCATGGTTAAAGGACTTCAGCTGCAAACAACGAGAACAAGAACCGTACTCTGCGCATAGAAACACAGCCCAACGTGCCACGCACGAACGGT